TGAGATATAGTGACTCCCGAAAACGATGAGGTTAGCATGACGCTTTAATGATTCTTGAACTATGGACAACGAGGTCCAAGTGGAGTAATCGGGATACTCTTAGAAGAATCACCTATGTAAGAGTGAAGTGCGGTCGCTTCAACAGAAGGATTTCGGGCTGATCCTGTCTGACACTCTCGCAGAACCAGATGCGTGTTCCACGACCATAATGGGCACACCCATGAGAACGGAATGATGGTTGGTTGAAACTTGTGTATTGTATATCGTCGTTTACATAAACGGCAGTACAGTTCAAAGACATCACGTTCTACTGAACAGCCAGTAGAGAAGGTATACTTTACAAGGAGTAGGTTCAAAGGCATAAAACCTACCTACTCTTGCAGGTTTCAACTTCAAAGTTATTGCCAGTTACATGAATTAATTTTCATTCATGTGGGGGATTGTTGGAATTTTTTAAGTAAATTGGACATTTTCGGACATAAATTTGATAGGGTCCACAAAATTATTTTTCCAAAATAATTATGGACGATTAATCTCGTAAGTAAGACGAACGTCTTGACATATGACACGTCATAAACAGTGCTCGGGTGAATGAGAAATTAATTCTCAAAGTTGAATACTAAGGTATAGTAAATGCCTTTGTCCCACACCGGTTTCTAAACCTTTCGTATTCTCATATTTAAGCTTAGGCATTGAATTGAGCTTATGAAAGGAACAAGAAGAGAACTCCTCGCGCGCCCGCCGCCGCCGCCGTCCGGCCGGCTCGGCACGTCACGACACGCGCGCGGGGCGAGGCGGGGCGTGGCGAGGCGCGGCGCGCCCGCGTCCGCGTCCGCGCCGTGGCTAAATTATTACGAGACCAAAACGAAACGCGCGTGTACACTTCGTTAATAACGTACGGAGTTTGAAGCATGCATGCATGGCCGACCGAAGAGTCGCATTGGGCTCCTCGGTTTCTCCGTCCGAACCGTCCAGTTAACCAAGCCTCTTCCTATTTAAGGAGAGGCTGGTCGAGAGATGTGACACTCACTCGAAAATCTCTCTTTGTCTCTGCATTCCAAAACTTCCGATAATTCCCCATCTCCGGTCATCTTCTCCGGCGATAACTCTCCGACATTCTCGTTCGCCGGTGCTCTGTTCTACCGCTCTAGACTTAGCACGTAGCGGTTTTATTCTGGGAGGAGATTGCCCACGTTAGCCAGTGTGGGAGGCGGGCAATACTACTTTAAGGAAAGCTTCGGCGACTCCGCTTTCCTTACCCTTCTTTGCTCCGGCGTCGTTCCTCTCTCCGTCCGTTCGTGTTCTTGCGTTCGTTCAAGCATCCGAAGGCTCCAAGTTTTATTTTTTTTGTTGTAAAATCCGAATGTTTTATAAGTTCGGATTATTTTCTTTTTATTTTCCCGTTGTAATAATCAACACTTAATTCGCACATCTATAAGCTCTGCAAGCATTCGTTCCAATGAAGAGGGTCAAATATGAACATGAAATAATTTAGCTTCGAATGGAAACTGATCAAGCAAATCAATTTACTGTTCTCTTGATGTATTTTTGGATTCCTTCATGGAGGACCATATTACTAAACGTGCTAGCTGATTAAAGTTAGAAAAGGAGACTAAGGCTCCGTTCCGTTCAACTTATTTTTTCTGATCTGATCTGATTCTAATAAGTTCTGATCTGATCTGGACCGATCTGATCTGATTCGATCTGATCTGATCTGATTTTAATAAGAATAAGAAAAAATAAGAAAAAATAAGTTGAACGGAACGGGGCCTAACTTTGCTACTTTACTAAGAAGATGAACTCAGATTTACCAGATAATGAAATATTTAGACTATAACCACATAAACATTAGATCCCAAATTGTTAAATGAAGTTGAAAAGTAGGGACCGAAGCAGATACATGGAGAAACGAATTGATTATCTTGAGGAATGGAGAGGAGGGGTTGAGAATTTTAGTTACATTTACAATGAGCACAAGAAGTGCGGTTGACTGCTGCTAAGCCTTCCTTATTAATTGACCGGTGGTTAACCGGTGTTTGACCGGTATTGCTATTTTATTTTTTTATTAATTTTTTAATTTTCAAAATAAAAAAAAGGTGAGTTTTGGTGTTCAAAGTGGTGAGCTTTGCCTTATTTCCAGGTGAGTTTTACATTGACCATTGGTGAGCTTTGCAGTGTAATGTGGTGAGCTTTGTGTCATCTCACCGAAACATGTATCTCATCATAAAGTGTCATCTCACTGGAGTCAATCTCTATATGTATGTATGTATGTATGTATGTATGTATGTATGTATGTATGTATAGATACGTTATGACATTGAATTAAAAAATTAATATTTGAGTAAATAAAATAATATTTCCTCTATTTATAAATAAATAATTGATGTTTTATTAAATTTAAAAATTAACTTAATTTACTTGAGTTGTGTCATTAAATAAAAATAAAATTTACTTATTGAAAAAAGTTATTCCGTCCGTCCTAAAATTAACTTCTCATTTGACTTTTCACGGTCTTCAATGCGACACTTTGACCATTAATATCTTCATTTTTATATAAATATATATTACAAAAATAACATATTTTAAAACTATGTTTCAAAATGAATCTATTGATAATATATTTATATGAAAATTCAATATATTATTTTCGTAATTAAAAAGTTTGACTGGAAAAGTCAAATTGCGGGTTACGGAGTAAAATTTTTTACTTTTTGAAATCATTTTATTTACAAATTGGTATATCAATAAAATATAAAAATTACATATTAAAAAATTACGTGAAAAGTTCTACAAAACTAGAGGTGACAAGAATATTTTATTTTATCAAATACTTAATGAAATCGCATAAACAAACAAAAGTTATCGAGAAGAGAGAGAAAAAAATTGTAATCCATTTAGTAACAAATTTATTTTAAGAATATTAGAAACGAAAAGTACAGAGTAATCACCAAGCTTGTTAGCAGAATTGGTCAGCGGCTGCCCCTTTCAACCATACATCCTGGGTTGGAATCCAGGCCATTAGGCGTAGCATCCTCAGAGCTGCCGACCTCGAGCTCACCCCTCCTCGAGATTCCGAAACCTGGCCTGACTGGATAGAAAAACAAATCGACAGCATCTGTTCTTCTAGCTTTTTATAAAATCTCCATGGCCTGGAGATCTGTAAATGGTAACAACATCGTGCGTTGACCACCCCATTGCTATATACTCCCTCCGTCCCAAATTATTTACCACATTTCTCTTACCGAAGCAAAATATCAAGCTTTTTCAATTCATTTCATTTACATATTGGTAAAGAAATAAGAGTAAATTATATAAAAGGTCCCCAGTTATAAGTCGTTTTACATATTTAGTCCCTACATATCAAGTATTACTTATTTAGTCCCCAATTATTATATTTATTTCCACGAATAGTCTTTTGATAACATTTTCATTAAAAACGTGGATAAAATTTTAAATTTACACTCCTTTTTTCCTAAGTTAAACTTTCTCCATCTTCTCATAATTTTTCCCAAACTCGTCGCTGAGTTTGAAGCTTTTAAACCCAAAACTTAAATGATCGTTCCTTCAGTTAGACAAACAATTGAGAGAAGAGAGTGATGATTTTGGTTTAATGTTCAAAGCTAGAAACTCAGCGACGAATTTGAGAAAGGAGTGCAAGGGAGGAAGGAAGCTTAACTTAGGAAAAAAGGAGGAATTTTAGAAAGGAGTGCAAGGGAGGAAGGAAGTTTAACTTAGGAAAAAAGGAGCGTGAATTTATAATTTTATCCACGTTTTTAATGAAAATGTTATCAAAGGACTATTCGTGGAAATAAATATAATAATTGGGGGCTAAATTAGTAATATTTGATATGTAGGCACTAAATATGTAAAACGACCTATAACTGGTGACCTTTTATGAAATTTACTCAAGAAATAAAAAATAAAAATTACATATCAAAAAACTACATGAAAAGTTGTTCAAAATAAGAGGTGTCAAGAGTATTTTATTTTATCAAATAACCGATGAAAACGTAGAAATAAACAAAAGTTCCCGCGACTGCTGAAAAAGCAAATGTGGCAAATAATTTGGGACGGAAGAAGTATATAATTGAGAGGTGAGCAGAAGAGTGGTCGTGAAACACCTACTTTGGCAAATCCGGGTTGAAGGAAGTCGTCATTCCGAGCCCCTAAAGACTCTGAGTCTTCTTCTTCCCCACAACGGGCGAAGAGGGAAGAGTAAGGTGAAAGAGTTGCTCGGGGTTACGCAATTTTACAGCCTTGATCACTGGATTCAAATTGGTGAATCAAGCTCAGCCTGACCCAAATCTTGGGAACTCTCTAGTCTCGCAGGGTCATAGAAGATGGCCGGAGGTGTTGCTGCCGGAGTTTTTTCCTGGATGCTGCCGAGTTGGAGCCATTGCCAGAATTAGAGCACAATTTGGAAAATTCTATTTGGAATTCTTCCTCAGCCGTGAACTAGAGCACATATGACCGAGTGGTAGAGGGGAAGTTTCGCAGGCCGCCTGGGATGTGTGCATCAGACTACCATCTGGTCGACCCAATGACACATCAGAATGTGGAATGGGTGGAGGCCTTGCTGCCCTGCTCCTGCCTTGCTGTCGCACCCTCTGTTGACAGCGGTAAAAACCAATCGTGGCGGAGATGAACTTCAGCGGATTCGACTCTTCAGTAAGGCAGCAGAGGCTGAGTTTCAAGAGGTAGTGATCTTCAAACTCATCAATCCGACAACGGTGACACTGAGAGTTCGGCATATGAGTAGCACCACATGGCGGAGTTGGTGGAGCGAGCCCCACTCCATCGGCAGACATCCACAGACGAGTATAAATATGAAAATGCTAATATACTCCTATTGGGATAGTTTCACAAATTTATCCAGCCCAAATGAACCGTTTCTTTTCTTGCAACTTTAATTTTAGGATTGTGATATTGAAAAAGTCATGGTGCATGCATTTTAATTAATGCATGGTTTTTCCTTTGCCAAGGTGGGTGTCGGCTTGGGTATTTTGCATTGGCTTCCTATTTAATTAATGGTTTTTTTTTGCATGGCTTTGTGTGGACTATGAGAAGGCACAAGGAGTGCAAGGGAAATTGTCTCCAGCCGTGGTTTTTTTTTTACTTCCTTGTGAAGGGGTTGTACAATTTGGTTTCTTCATACAACATTTTAAAAGTTTTTCTTTGTACCAAAATATTGTATGTGGGTCTAGGATTGGTGTTGTAATCCTTGACGGTTAAATTGTACTTGCACTATTTTTATAGTGGTGGTTTTACCTCCGTAAAGAGGGGTTTTCCGGTTACAATCTTGGTCTCATTCACTTGTTTACTTGTTTTGGCTTGCGGTTCTCTTTGCGTCTTTGACTACTAGTTTGCGTCTTTCGTTTTGTGGGGAAATTTGGTGCGTAATTTCCCAACAATGGTATCAGAGACTGGTTAGGTTCGGGTGGTTAGAGTAGTTTTCGAGGATGTCGAGTTCGGGTGCGGGGTCTCACTTTTCCGTGCCTAAGTTCGATGGAAAGAGTAGCTTCACTCTTTGGCAAAGAAGGATGAAGGATCTCCTTGTGCATTTGGGTTTGTCTAGAGCCCTTAAAGGAGATGAGGCAAAGCCGGAGAAAATGAGTGACAATGATTGGCAGGAGTTGTGTGAGAAGTGTGTCAGTACCATCCGGTTGTGCATTGCAGACTCTGTTGTTAATTGTGTTATTGACGAAGAGTCTCCGGCGGTGATATGGGAGAAGTTGGAAAAGCTGTACATGGCGAAAAGCTTGACCAACAAGCTTCTTTTGAAGAGGCGGTTGTATCGGTTGCGGATGGAGGATGAGGACACCTTGGTTGGACACATGAATGTGTTCAATGGTTTAATAGACGAGCTAAAACGGGTTGATGTTAAAATCAGTGAGGAGGATCAGGCATTGCTTCTCCTTAATTCTCTCCCGGATTCCTATGAGGTTTATGTGGATACCATATTGTGCGGCAAGGACACAATTACCTTGGAGCAGGCACAATCAGCTTTGTTGTCGTTTGATGCGAGGAGGAAAGACAAAGCTGGGGTACGGAGTGACGATGTAGTCGCGGCAATTGCTCATGGTGGTGGGAGAGGTCGTTCGTCTATTAGGGACAATAAATCAAAGCACGAGAGGTCTAAGTCCCAGAACGCATCTAAGAACGAGGTGCGTTGTTACAAGTGTGGCGAGCTCGGGCATATTAGGAGGGATTGTCCTAAGAAGCGTGAGGGGAAAAATGATGCCAACTTGGTTCGAGATGGAGAGACTGGTAGTAGTTCTCTCGGAAATGGAAGTGACGAGTTGTTCATGGTGGCTAACGGTCATGATGAAGCTTCCGACAATGATTGGGTGCTTGGTTCTGCATGTGTGAGTCACATGTGCTCCAAGAGGGAACATTTTGAGACACTTCAAGAAGGCATGACTAAGAAGTTGAGGTTAGCAGATGACTCAACGGTGGATGTCATGGGAGTTGGGGTGGTGAAGGTGAAAATGTTTGATGGAGTGGTAATGACTTTGGGTAATGTTGCGTATGTTCCCAAGTTGCGGTGGAATCTCATTTCACTTAGTCAATTGGACTCCGAGGGGTACGAGTACAAGGCTCGCGGGAGAGTAGTTAGAGTGACTAAGGGTAGCACAGTTCTGATCAGGGGGGGAGCTGGTCCACGGTTTGTATCGTATGGTGGGTCATATGACTAGGAGTGGCTCGAAACGGAAAAATAATCGACGTGTCTGCTTCGCGGATGAGGCGACGAAGGTTCATGACTTCTAGGATCTTGCCGGTCTCTCTTGGGTTGGAGGGGGAGTTTGTTGGGATAGTTTCACAAATTTATCCAGCCCAAATGAACCGTTTCTTTTCTTGCAACTTTAATTTTAGGATTGTGATATTGAAAAAGTCATGGTGCATGCATTTTAATTAATGCATGGTTTTTCCTTTGCCAAGGTGGGTGTCGGCTTGGGTATTTTGCATTGGCTTCCTATTTAATTAATGGTTTTTTTTGCATGGCTTTGTGTGGACTATGAGAAGGCACAAGGAGTGCAAGGGAAATTGTCTCCAGCCGTGGTTTTTTTTTACTTCCTTGTGAAGGGGTTGTACAATTTGGTTTCTTCATACAATATTTTAAAGGTTTTTCTTTGTACCAAAATATTGTATGTGGGTCTAGGATTGATGTTGTAATCCTTGACAGTTAAATTGCACTTGCACTATTTTTATAGTGGTGGTTTTACCTCCGTAAAGAGGGTTTTTCCGGTTACAATCTTGGTCTCATTCACTTGTTTACTTGTTTTGGCTTGCGGTTCTCTTTGCGTCTTTGACTACTAGTTTGCGTCTTCCGTTTTGTGGGGAAATTTGGTGGGTAATTTCCCAACAACTCCTTACTTCACAAACTTCACCAACTTGTCTTTTGTGGATTTTAAAATAAAATACAGAGTATCTTTTATTATTTGAGTGCATCTTATTTCTAAGAAAGTATTAAAAAGACTTGTGAATTTTGTGAACTGTTTGTTTGTGACTATAACATTACTCGTATAAATATGGGTTTTGCGCCGTATACAAAGCAATGGGCCAGCCCAATAGACTGGGCCAACCCTAAAATATGTAATTAATATACGGCTAACGGACTGGTCCAACTGCCTATACCGCCCCAACTAATATTGTACAAAGACCGGATACTTCTTATCCAAGGTATCCATCAATAATAATAATAACAATAATAATAAATATAATAATCATAGTAACAATAATAATAATAATAATAATAATAATAATAATAATAATAATAACAATAGTAATAATGATTATAATCATAATATCAATAGTAAGAGTAATAGTAATAATAATACTAATAATAATGGTAATAATAGTAATAGTAATAATAATAATAATAATTTTTTTAGATCTGATATGATCGGATATGATCTGATTAGATTTAATTTGATTTGATCTGGTCTGGTCTGATTTTATAGTAATAAACAGAAAAAATAAGTTGAACCAAACACCGCCTAAATAGTGTAGATAAACAGTGGGGGTATAATAGCACATTTATTAAAAGTTTTTTACCAAAATAAAAAACGAGAAATAAATTTTTGGACGGCTCAAAAAAGTTTCAAAGAAACTAATAGACGAAAGGAGTAACAAACTCCCAAAAACTCAAACATATGCTCCACCCATCCCTAACTAAAATCTTAGGCGCGTTGGGTGAATTTTGGATATATGATAAGATACGAGTTATGAAATCTCAGATATACGATAAATGTTTTGAAATCTTAAGGGTCCGTTTGATATACAGAATTGACGTAATTGGAATTGAATTGAAATTGAAATTCCATGGGATTCAATTTCATAGAATTGAATTATGCCAATTTCAATTTATTTTTGTACTATTAGTTCTAAATCTACAAAATTTTTGTTCTACCAAACACCAAGATTTAAATTGAAGTTCCCAATTCCAATTTCATAGTTTGAATTTCATGTACCAAACGGGGCCTAAATGAACTTGTTTGGAAAAATTAAAGTCATGATTTAGTTAGTGGTAACCGGTAGTGACTAACAATTGGGGTGGTTGGCGGTGGTAATGGTAGCATGCAACAGAAAATGATCAACAGTTGAAAAATTCTTACAATGGTGGGTTGCTCAGGTCAGATTCAGCTGGATTTGACCCATTTCTAATGTGTCATTTTGTGTTCGATCAATTTCAAGTTCGATCATCACAATTTTTGTTCAAACCTAGTATTTTCAGGTAAGGTTTCTGTAAAAATTAATAAGAGAGAAAATATTCTGTATATTGAATTGTTCTCTCCGGTTGTAAGGGGTTTCTCCTTTATTTATAGGAGAGAATAATTCCAAAATAGACAAGGAATACAAATCCTCTAAGGAAACAAATTAGTAATCAAACTAGGAAATAAATAAATCAAGATCAATCCCAATTAGAATGGGATTTAGACTTCTCAGAAGTCGGACTTCTCCGAATCCGGACTTCTCCGGATCTGGACCTCTCGAGATTCAGATCTCTCAGAATTCGGACCTCTCGAAACTTGGACCTCTCGAAACTCGGACTTCTCGGAAGTCGGACTTCTCCAGATCCGGACCTCTCGGGACCAATACCCTCCCCCCCTCAAGCTGAAGCGTGTGGATTTTGCGTGCCTAGCTTGGACAGCAAATGTAAGAAAGGAGAGGAAGCCAAAGCCTTTGTAAACAAATCAACTGGTTGGTTGGTGGTGGAGACATGCTGGGTACACAGAACACCTTTCTGAATTTCATCATGCACAAAGTAACAGTCAATCTAATTGTGTTTGGTACGTTCATGAAAAACTAGGTTAGCTGCGATATGAAGAGCAGCCTGATTGTCACAGAACAACCGCATGGGTTGTTTGTGATACACGCCCAAGGATAATAGAAGAGATTTCAACCATTTCAGTTCACAAACAGTGGTGGCCATGGCCCGGTATTCGGCCTCAACGGAGGAGCGGGAGACCACATTTTGTTTCTTCATATGGCCAAGAGTAATAAAATAACCAGTAATAGAATGACGAGTCAAAGGACAGCCAGCCCAATCAGAGTCACAAAAAGCCGTAAGGGTGAGATCACTCTGTGTTGGAAGGAACATGCCTTGCCCGAGACTACCCTTGATATAGCGTAGAACATGTGTCGCCCGATCCCAATGCTCCTATCGCGGGCTCCCCATAAATTGATATAACACATGAAAAACATATGCTAAATCAGGACGAATAATCGTGAGATAAATAAGACGCCCTACAAGCCGGCAATAACGCTCTGGATTAGTGAGAAACAGGCCACTTGCTTGAGCCAGATGATGATTCTTAGCAAGATGAGTGGAAGCCGGACGAGCACCTAGATACCCAGTCTCACAAAGAATATCAAGAGCATACTTTCGCTGGCAAATGAAGATTCGTTTTGAATTTCGGGCAACCTTAACGCCCAAAAAATATTTTACAAGGCCGAGATCTTTCATATGGAAGCAATCAGAGAGATACTGCTTAAACTTTTCAATGAAACCTTCATCATTTCTTGCAATAACGAGATCATCCACATACACCAGCACACGAAGCTCAATGGAGCCACGCAGAAGAGTAAACAAAGAATAATCAGCCTTGGATTGGTGAAACCCAAAATGTTTCAAAGCAAAGGTTAGTTTAGCAAACCAACAACGTGGAGCCTGACGAAGACCATATAGGGATTTATGAAGATGACAAACCAATCCTTTACCGCGAGAGGCAAACCCTGGAGGAAGAGTCATGTATATTTCATCGCAAAGATCTCCATGCAAAAAGGCATTATGAACGTCCATCTGATGTAGGAACCAGTTTCGGGCAGCGGTAACAGCTAAGAGAGTGCGAACGGTAACTAATTTGGCTGTCAGTGCAAAAGTCTCTTTAAAGTCAATTCCTTCTTTCTGGCGATTGCCAAGCACCACTAAATGAGCTTTGTATCGTTCAGCACTTCCATCAGACTTGCGCTAGATTTTATAGATCCACTTGGATCCGATTGTTTTATTTCCAGGAGGCAAAGGGACAAGCGACCAAGTACCATTGGCTTCCAATGCCTGAATTTCTTCCTTCATAGCTCACACCCAGAGTGGGTTTTTGACCGCCTTAGAAAAGAATGTAGGCTCAACATCTCTACTTATAGCTGCTAGAAAACATCTATGGGAAACAAAAAATTTGTCAGCGTTAATAAAATTTGTAATCCAGTGTGTTGTACCTGAAGGAGTTGTCGGTGTGGGTGAATCAAGAGAGGGACGTTGAATGGTGTGAGTGACGAAGTCACGTAGTCGCGAAGAAGGACGACGTTCTCTTTCACTTCGGCACAAAGTGTCTTGGGTCGAAAGGGTTTGGTTATCAAGGGCAGAGGAAGGTTGATCTGTTTTAGTGGGTTGGCTGTTTGGTGTTGCTAGGAATATAGATGATAAGAAAAGTACATCTGGGGGTTGTTTCTTTTTAGGAGGAAATTTGGTTGCATGGCTAAGTAAGAAACAAAACTCAGTGTCATTGTCTACAGCAGAAGCTGAATATATAGCAGCCAGGAGTTGTTGTGCACAGTTGTTATGGATGAAGTCAGTATTATCAGACTATGGAATACAACAAAAGAAAATACCACTATATTGTGACAACACAAGTGCAATCAGTATGTCAAAAAATCATGTACTACATTCTCGAACAAAGCACATTAACATTAAACATTATTTTATAAGAGAATTAGTTGAAGGAAAAATTGTCAGCTTGGAGAACATTGATACAGAGGAGCAACTGGCTGATATTTTCACAAAGGCGTTAGATGGAAGCAGATTTGAAACACTCAGATCCAAATTGGGTCTGTGTGCACCTTATTAGTATGTCACATATTTTCTTTTTGGACACAAATTGTTAGCTAATGTGTTCAAATATTTTTTCTCATCCGCTGAAAAAGATGACTTATGGCACAATAAGGGGGCATGTACTGCATGGACACGGAACACAAAGGTGGCGTCCAGAATTAATACGGAGTACAAGAAACGAAGAGGCACTGCTAAAATTCAAAAGGCTGCGTTTCAAATCTAACAGAATCCAAAAACAAAAAAGGGGCTTCACTCCGCCTTAGAATTCTTCAGAAACTCAAAATCAAGAATCATCCATCTTCCTCTCTCAAGAAGACAAACATGGTGAGAACAAAGATCGCTCTACCACAGCGATGGACTGGAAAGGCAAGAATGCAAAAGAAGAAGTTTCGCAAACCCTCCTGGAAAAAGTTATTCTCAAGAGGTGAATCGTCATCTACCACTGCAGCAACGGGAAAATCTTCAGCACTCCCACTTCTCTCAGATGATGATGGACTGTATCTTCCAATTTTGCAACCATCTGAAGTGTTGCGATTGGAATATGATCCAATTAATCCTGAGGAGTCCACAAAAAACCCTAACACAAAGGGGGAAATCTGTG